GCGGATCGGGCGGGGAAGTCCTCCCCGGTGAGCGTGTCGTACTACGTCACCCCGCCCACCAAGGACGTCGTCCTGGGGGTCCTGCAGTGGAGGTGGTTCGCCCTCGGGGCCATCGTCCTGACGTCCTTCCTGGGCAGGTTCTTCTACAACCTGACCATGAAGGCCAAGGCCAAGGACCGGAGGGCCGGGGCCTTTGAGGACATGAACGAGGCCATCGACTTTGGGCGCTCCAGGGCGGACACGAGGATGGAGGGGAAGACGGGGGTGTCCCTGAGCCAGGTGGCTGGGATAGACTACCTCCGCGACGAGCTGGAGGAGGTGATCGACCTGCTCAAGGACCCGTACAAGTACCAGGCCCTGAGGGTGCGGCCCCCCAAGGGCATCCTGCTTATGGGCCCCCCGGGGGTGGGGAAGACCCTGATCGCCAAGGCGATCGCTGGGGAGGCCGGCGTCCCCTTCTACTCCCTGGCCGGCTCGGAGTTCACGGAGCTGATCGTGGGCGTGGGCGCGGCGAGGGTCCGGGACCTGTTCAAGCGCGCCCGGGTCAACGTCCCTTGCCTCATCTTCATCGACGAGATCGAGGCCCTCGGGCACAAGAGGGAGATGAACGACTCGGAGAGCAAGAACGAGGAGAGGGACCAGGCCCTGAACCAGCTGCTGACGGAGATGGACGGCTTCACCCCGGACACCGGGATCGTGGTGATGGCGGCGACGAACGCCCCCCACCTCATCGACCCGGCCCTGCTGAGGCCGGGGAGGTTCGACCGCAAGGTCAGCGTGCGCCGGCCCAACCAGGAGGCGAGGAGGGCGATCCTGGGGGTCCACGCCCAGAAGCACCCCATGGAGGAGGGGCCTGGCGGGGGGGTGGACCTCGGGCAGCTGGCGAGCGACACGCCTGGCCTGTCCGGCGCGGAGCTGGAGAAGGTCCTGAACGAGGCGGCCCTGGAGGCCATCCGGAGGGGCGAGGCCACCGTCCGCCGGGACTCGGTGTACTGCGCCCTGGACAGGGTGCTGGAGGGGAGCTCCCTGCCCCCCCTTCCGGACGCTTACGCCTCGAATGAGGTCTTCGCGTACCACGAGGCCGGGGTGGCCCTGGTGAGCGAGCTGCTGAGGCTGGAGGGCGGGGGCGAGGCGAGCGGCCTGCAGGCTGTGAAGTCCGCGTCCCTGGTGCCCCGGAACCGCTCGTGGTCCCGCGTCACGTACTACATCAGCAGCGACAAGAGCTACAAGATGCTGACTGGGGAGGACCTGAGGAGGCAGGTCCGGGTCCAGCTCGCGGGCCGGGCCGCGGAGGAGCTCGCGTTCGGGGAGCCCACCACGTACAGCAGCCTGGACGTGGCCCGGGCCTCGGACATCTGCGTCAAGATGCTCAACGCCGGGATGGTCGGCGGCCTGGAGGTCCTGCCGTACACCTTCCCGAGCGACCTGTTCACCAGCGGCATCGTGTTCTCGGACCCCCAGGTCCAGGTGCAGAGGCAGGAGCTCCTGGACGTTACGAGCGGCCTGGAGGGCGGCCGGAACCCCAACGGCATGTGCGGCCCGAGCGAGCGCACCCGGTGGAGGTGCGAGCACGAGGTCCGCTCGATGCTGGAGGAGGCCCACCGGGAGAACCTCAGGGTGCTTGGGGGCGAGGAGATGAGGGGGGTCCTGGACGACTTGGCGGCGAGGCTGGTGCGGGACAAGGAGGTGAGCGGCGACGCGGTGAGGGAGATGATCCAGCAGCAGCGGGTGGGGGGGGGGGAGAGGTGGTGATACATATACAATTGGTGGCGGGAAGATGAAGATGCATGCAGCAGCACATGTTGTTGTTGGGGGAAGGATAAGAAGATAAAGAGGGGAATGATGTTGTGTACGTTTTGTTGCGTGTTAGCACATTGTTTTGCTTGTTTGTTTGTTTGCTTGTTTGTTTGTGGAAGAAGGATAAGAACAAGGGACAGGGAGGGACAGGGAGGGACAGGGAGGGACGGGAGGGACAGGGAGGGAGGGAGGGACAGGGACAGGGACAGGGACAGGGACAGGGAGGGAGGGAGGGAGGGAGGGAGGGACAGGGGAAAAAAAAAAGCCGCGTCTTTGAGTTCGACGCGTCGCTCGGCTGAGGCTTTGCTGGGGTGACCCCGGGGGTGATTACCCGGCTCCACATTTCGATCGTTTTGTTCCGTTTTCAAGGGGACAACAGGGAATCGAACCCCGGACCTCTCGCACCCAAAGCGAGAATCATACCACTAGACCATTATCGCTTATCGGAGGAGCTCGCGTTCGGGGAGCCCACCACGTACAGCAGCCTGGACGTGGCCCGGGCCTCGGACATCTGCGTCAAGATGCTCAACGCCGGGATGGTCGGCGGCCTGGAGGTCCTGCCGTACACCTTCCCGAGCGACCTGTTCACCAGCGGCATCGTGTTCTCGGACCCCCAGGTCCAGGTGCAGAGGCAGGAGCTCCTGGACGTTACGAGCGGCCTGGAGGGCGGCCGGAACCCCAACGGCATGTGCGGCCCGAGCGAGCGCACCCGGTGGAGGTGCGAGCACGAGGTCCGCTCGATGCTGGAGGAGGCCCACCGGGAGAACCTCAGGGTGCTTGGGGGCGAGGAGATGAGGGGGGTCCTGGACGACTTGGCGGCGAGGCTGGTGCGGGACAAGGAGGTGAGCGGCGACGCGGTGAGGGAGATGATCCAGCAGCAGCGGGTGGGGGGGGGGGAGAGGTGGTGATACATATACAATTGGTGGCGGGAAGATGAAGATGCATGCAGCAGCACATGTTGTTGTTGGGGGAAGGATAAGAAGATAAAGAGGGGAATGATGTTGTGTACGTTTTGTTGCGTGTTAGCACATTGTTTTGCTTGTTTGTTTGTTTGCTTGTTTGTTTGTGGAAGAAGGATAAGAACAAGGGACAGGGAGGGACAGGGAGGGACAGGGAGGGACGGGAGGGACAGGGAGGGAGGGAGGGAGGGACAGGGACAGGGACAGGGACAGGGACAGGGAGGGGGGAGGGAGGGACAAAAAAAAAAAAAAGCCGCGTCTTTGAGTTCGACGCGTCGCTCGGCTGAGGCTTTGCTGGGGTGACCCCGGGGGTGATTACCCGGCTCCACATTTCGATCGTTTTGTTCCGTTTTCAAGGGGACAACAGGGAATCGAACCCCGGACCTCTCGCACCCAAAGCGAGAATCATACCACTAGACCATTATCGCTTATCGGAGGAGCTCGCGTTCGGGGAGCCCACCACGTACAGCAGCCTGGACGTGGCCCGGGCCTCGGACATCTGCGTCAAGATGCTCAACGCCGGGATGGTCGGCGGCCTGGAGGTCCTGCCGTACACCTTCCCGAGCGACCTGTTCACCAGCGGCATCGTGTTCTCGGACCCCCAGGTCCAGGTGCAGAGGCAGGAGCTCCTGGACGTTACGAGCGGCCTGGAGGGCGGCCGGAACCCCAACGGCATGTGCGGCCCGAGCGAGCGCACCCGGTGGAGGTGCGAGCACGAGGTCCGCTCGATGCTGGAGGAGGCCCACCGGGAGAACCTCAGGGTGCTTGGGGGCGAGGAGATGAGGGGGGTCCTGGACGACTTGGCGGCGAGGCTGGTGCGGGACAAGGAGGTGAGCGGCGACGCGGTGAGGGAGATGATCCAGCAGCAGCGGGTGGGGGGGGGAGAGGTGGTGATACATATACAATTGGTGGCGGGAAGATGAAGATGCATGCAGCAGCACATGTTGTTGTTGGGGGAAGGATAAGAAGATAAAGAGGGGAATGATGTTGTGTACGTTTTGTTGCGTGTTAGCACATTGTTTTGCTTGTTTGTTTGTTTGCTTGTTTGTTTGTGGAAGAAGGATAAGAACAAGGGACAGGGAGGGACAGGGAGGGACAGGGAGGGACGGGAGGGACAGGGAGGGAGGGAGGGACAGGGACAGGGACAGGGACAGGGACAGGGAGGGAGGGGGAGGGAGGGAGGGACAGGGGAAAAAAAAAGCCGCGTCTTTGAGTTCGACGCGTCGCTCGGCTGAGGCTTTGCTGGGGTGACCCCGGGGGTGATTACCCGGCTCCACATTTCGATCGTTTTGTTCCGTTTTCAAGGGGACAACAGGGAATCGAACCCCGGACCTCTCGCACCCAAAGCGAGAATCATACCACTAGACCATTATCGCTTATCGGAGGAGCTCGCGTTCGGGGAGCCCACCACGTACAGCAGCCTGGACGTGGCCCGGGCCTCGGACATCTGCGTCAAGATGCTCAACGCCGGGATGGTCGGCGGCCTGGAGGTCCTGCCGTACACCTTCCCGAGCGACCTGTTCACCAGCGGCATCGTGTTCTCGGACCCCCAGGTCCAGGTGCAGAGGCAGGAGCTCCTGGACGTTACGAGCGGCCTGGAGGGCGGCCGGAACCCCAACGGCATGTGCGGCCCGAGCGAGCGCACCCGGTGGAGGTGCGAGCACGAGGTCCGCTCGATGCTGGAGGAGGCCCACCGGGAGAACCTCAGGGTGCTTGGGGGCGAGGAGATGAGGGGGGTCCTGGACGACTTGGCGGCGAGGCTGGTGCGGGACAAGGAGGTGAGCGGCGACGCGGTGAGGGAGATGATCCAGCAGCAGCGGGTGGGGGGGGGAGAGGTGGTGATACATATACAATTGGTGGCGGGAAGATGAAGATGCATGCAGCAGCACATGTTGTTGTTGGGGGAAGGATAAGAAGATAAAGAGGGGAATGATGTTGTGTACGTTTTGTTGCGTGTTAGCACATTGTTTTGCTTGTTTGTTTGTTTGCTTGTTTGTTTGTGGAAGAAGGATAAGAACAAGGGACAGGGAGGGACAGGGAGGGACGGGAGGGACAGGGAGGGAGGGAGGGACAGGGACAGGGACAGGGACAGGGACAGGGAGGGGGGAGGGAGGGAGGGAGGGACAGGGGAAAAAAAAAAGCCGCGTCTTTGAGTTCGACGCGTCGCTCGGCTGAGGCTTTGCTGGGGTGACCCCGGGGGTGATTACCCGGCTCCACATTTCGATCGTTTTGTTCCGTTTTCAAGGGGACAACAGGGAATCGAACCCCGGACCTCTCGCACCCAAAGCGAGAATCATACCACTAGACCATTATCCCGAAGTGGTGTACATTTTTCACGCAAATTTGTTTGATATGTACAGCTGTGCGCCCCCGCCCGCCCGCCCGCCTTCTCTCGCCCTCCGGCGGTATTGCTCGAGTACTCGTCGACGATGGCGTCGTCGTCGTCTTCGCGCGCCGTTCAGGCCCTGACCGCGGCCCTGTCCTCCGACCCCGGCCTCCTTCGGCACGAGGAGGAGCTCCTGCGCGGTCCGGGTTCGCTGCAGTCTTGGCTTGCGTACCTCGAGGCTGCCCCCGCGTCGGCGAGGACGCTGGTGTACGAGCGTTCCCTCCGCGCGTTTCCGGGGTCGTACAAGCTTTGGCGGGCGTACCTGGGGCACGCGCTGGCCTCCGAGCCTCCCCTGGCCCCGGGGAGGGTCTCCGCTCTCTTCGAGCGCGCCCTTTGCCACATGCACAAGTACCCCGTGGTGTGGCGCCTTTACCTGGAGTTCCTGCTGACGCCGCGCGGCGCGCGGTGCTCGTCGATCACGCGGACGCGGCGGGCGTTCGACCGGAGCCTGAGGTCCCTCCCCGTGACCCAGCACGCGGAGTGGGTGTGGCCCCTGTACCTGAGGTTCGCCTCGAGGGCGACGACGCCCTGGCAGACCGGGGCGCGGGTCTACCGCAGGTACCTCAAGCTGGAGCCGGGGCACCGGGAGGAGTACGTGGCGTTCTGCCGGGGGCGGGGGCTGCACGGGGAGGCGGCCGGCGCCCTGGCCGAGGCGCTCCGGGACCGGTCGTTCGCCTCGCTGGCGGGGAAGACGAGGCACGAGCTGTGGCTGGAGCTGGTGGACCTCCTGGTGGGCCACGGCGCGGAGGCCGAGGGCCTGGACGCGGAGGCCGTCCTGCGGTCCGGCCTGCGCACCACGGCCAAGGAGATGTCTGGCCGGCTGTACACCGCGCTGGCGGACTACCACGTCAGGAGGGGGGCGTTCTCCCAGGCGAGGGACGCGTACGTGGAGGGGATCGAGGGGGCCCGCACCGCGAGGGACTTCGCCCTGGTGTTCGACGCGTACGCGAGGTACCTGGAGAGCATGATCAGCGCCCTGATGGAGGAGGAGGAGGAGGGCGGCGACGACGATAGCCTGGACCTGCTGATGGCCGTCCTCGAGGACCTCGTGGCCTCCAGGCCGGTCCTGCTGAACGCGTGCCTGCTGAGGCAGAACCCGGACAACGTGAGGGAGTGGCTCCGCCGGGCGGAGATGGTGCCGGCGGAGGACGCGCCGGGGGTCTACGCCCGGGCCGTCACAACCTGCGCCCCCCGGGCCCCCGGGCACAACTCCCTGTGGGTCGCGTTCGCCAGGCTGTACGAGGACTCCGAACCCAAGGACCTCCCGCAGGCCCGGGAGGTCTTCCGCAGGGCGGTCGGCGTCGAGTACAGGACCCCGGAGGACCTCGCGGCGGTGTGGTGCGCCTGGGTGGAGATGGAGATCAGGGCGGGCGCTGGCGGGGGGAGGGCCCTCGAGGTGGCCAGGGAGGCCGTGGCCCAGGGCTCCGCGTGCAGGAAGAGCCAGAGGTGCTGGATGCTCCTGGCCGACCTCACGGAGAGCCTCTGCACCCTCGAGGAGACCAAGGCGGTGTACGGGGAGATGATCGACCACAAGCTGGCGACGCCCCAGGTGGTGCTGAACTTCGCCTCGGTCCTGGAGGAGGCGAGGCACTACGAGGAGGCCTTCAAGGCCTACGAGAGGGGGGTCTCGGCCTTCCGCCCCCCGCACTCGTCCTCCATCTGGAGGGCGTACCTGGGCAAGTTCGTGGGGAGGTACGGCGGCAGGAGGGTGGAGAGGGCCAGGGAGCTCTTCGAGGGGGCCCTGGACGCGGCCGAGGCCCCCGAGCTCGCGGAGATGTACCGCTGGTACGCCTCGTTCGAGGAGGAGCACGGCCTCGCCAAGAACGTGATGACGATCCTGGGGTCGGCCCTGAAGGTGTGCCCCGCCAAGGACAAGCTCGGCGTCCTCACCGCCTGGGTCGCCAAGGCCAAGGAGTTCTACGGCGTCGCGAGGGTGAGGCAAATCTACCAGGGCGCCATCGAGGTGGAGCCCCCGGAGGGCCTGGGGGACGCCGACGTCAGGACCGTCTGCCTGAGGTACGCCAGGCTGGAGAGGGGCCTCGGGGAGATCGACAGGGCGAGGGCCATTCTGAGGCACGGCAGCCAGCTGGCCAACCCCAAGGAGCGGGGCTCGGGCGGCGCGGGCTACTGGGAGGAGTGGAACAAGTTCGAGGTGTCTCACGGGAACGAGGACACGTTCAGGGAGATGCTCCGGGTCAAGAGGTCGGTGGCGGCTTTCTACGGCCAGGGGGCAGCGTCGTCGTCGGCGGCGCCAGCGGCAGCGGGGGAGAAGCCGAGCCTCCCGGGCTTCGTCAAGGCGGAGACCATGAACCAGGGCGGCGGGGCGCAAGAGAACCCTGCGGCGGCGGAGGAAGAGGGAAATCCGGAGGACATCGACATCGACGACGACGAGGAGGAGAAGGAGAAGGAGGAGAAGGAGGAGGTCCTCGAGGCCTTCGAGATCAAGCAGAAGGCCGTCCCGCAGGACGTCTTTGGCTCCCTCCAGCCCCCCTCTGTCGCCAACAACAAGAGGAAGGACTCGGAGAAGAAGAAGCCCTTTCTCGGGGCGGCGGAGCGCTTCAAGCGGGCCAAGACCACCACCACCCAATGACGACCGGCAGCTGCTTGCTTGCGTCCTCTTTGGTGGTTTGTGTGTAAACATTTTGTACAAAGATATATGTGTGTATTCACTTCATGGAGGTTCGGAAGAGGTCCTCGAGGCCGGCGTCCTTGAGCGTGCCGGCGAACAGGTGCATTTCGTCCTGCTGAAACTCGCAGAAGCCGGCAGGCAGCCTCCTCAGGCTGTCCAAGGTCTCCCCGTCCCCGGCTTCGACCTGCTCCTCGCCGCGAACCACAAACTTCTTCCACCGCAATCGCTGAAGCATAGATATATAGATCTGGCAGTGCCTCTCGTCCCCCTCGACGCATACCAGGCCAGGCCACCCAATCTTGCTGCAGCCGCCCAGCTTCAGCTCGAGGGCCCACTGGATGACCGCGCTCCTCTTCGACTGGGCGATGATGTGGTGCGAGAAGCACATTCGGCGGCCGAGGACCGTCTTCGTCTGCGCCCGGCGACCCTCAGCGAGCTTTGCCTCGAGGTGCCGCTTCAGATCCTCCTCCTCCTCCTTCGCCTGCTCCTCCTCCTCCCTCACTTCCCTGGCCCCCTCCTCGACCGCCGAGACGATCGACTGAAGCAGCTGAAACAGGCATTCGCTTCCCAGAGACTCTGCGGCGAGTTCCACGAGCTCGCTGCCGCACCTCGTCGTGAGGAACTTCGAGCCGAGGTCGACGACCGGGCTCGCGTCCGACGGGTACGCGGCGGGCAGGCGAACCCTAACGCCCGACAGCTGCAGGAGGTCCGCCTCCCCGAACGTCACCAGGAGGGTGATCGCTCCCTCCTGCAGGCCTCCGCTCTCGAGAATCCCCCTCGCGACATCCAGCCCGCTCACCTCGATCCTCACGCCCCCGTCAACAACTTCATCCGTCCCGTAGATCGCCTGAAGCGACTCCACTTCGTCCACCTGCCTCTCGAGGTTCTCCAGAAGGTCCTTACCCATCCCGCCGTCGCAAGAGCGCAGGAACGAGCGCGCGTGCGTGTCCTACATCATCATCATCATCGCCGAGCGAGAGCGCAGGAACGGTCTGTCGCCTCCCACCTCACCCTATCCTCAGCATTTAAATTCCCGTATGGGAAAAATGAGGCTGGGGAAGCGGCGTGGGGCCCAAGGCTAAAGGATTGCTTCCTTTCCTTTCTTCCTCCAAGGGATTAAAGGAATACGCGAAATCGAGAACGCGATTGGTTCCAGGGAATTAGCACTCGGCGCCCCGGAGAGCGAGAGAGATACTTTTTTCTTTCTTTTTCTCTTTCTCTTTCTCTTTCTTTTTCTTTTTCTAGGGGTACCTCCACCTCCACCTTCTCCTTACTCTTGTCCTCCCTACTCGGCTCGGCTCGGGCTCGGGAAGGGACCGACGTCGTGTGAAGTGAGAGAGGGACGAAAAGGAGGGTGGCGGGTATATCTCAGATAGATGGTTATGCCTCCTATATAGGTGGTGGTTGTCGAGGTCGGTGAGTATGGCAAGGAAAGGAGGAGACATGAAACTGAACACGCCGAGGGCCAAGAACCCGAACATAGAGAGCATCGAGGCCTCGGTGGTGGACAGTCCGTCGACTTACGCGATAAGTCGGCGGAGGTCGTCGCTTCAGAGGGAAGAGTTCGAGGACGGCCTGGGAACGCCGGAAAGGTCTGGAATTAGCGAAACGGCCACGCTCCTGCCGCAGGGGACGCCGGGGAGGCCTCGCTCCCACTCCCACCCGATTGACGACGAGGGTCCAGCGCCGCCGCTCACCCGGTCGGCCATCCTGTCCCTGATCGGCGCCAGCGCGAACCTCATGGCCACCTCCATGGGAACGGGCATGCTCGCGCTCCCCATTGCGGTCTACTACAGCGGGGCGGTCACGGGCACCGTCCTCATCATCGCGATGGCGGTTCTGTCAGACATTTCGCTGGTCTTCCTGGTCAAGGCCTCGAAGCAGTCGGGGATGACGAACCTGCAGGAGCTCGGAAGGTATTACTACGGACAGCAGGGGGAGCTGGTCGTCAACATCTCGCTCATAGCGCTGCTGCTGTGCGCGAGCCTTTCGGTCCTGATAGCGATAGCGGAGCTGCTGACTCCGATCTATAGGCACGCCCTTCCGACGGAGGACTACGACCACTGGTATTGCCAAGGCTGGTTCGTGATGCTCCTTTGCGTTGCCATGATTTTCCCCATATCCATCCCGAACAACCTGGCGCCCCTCAAGTGGTCGAGCAGCGGCGCAGTCTTCAGCATCTTCCTGGTCTTCATATTTATGGGCGTGCGCTTCTGCCAGCACGGGATCGCAAAGGACTCCAAGATCGACCTGTTCGTGGACTCGCCCATAGCGACGCTGGCGCTGCCCATCCAGGGCTTG